ATAATCCTTTACGTAGTACCATCGAAGATCTGTGCTACCTCTCTATTCGGGTGATATTATAGTTATGTGATGTCGCTGTGTGGCTTAGAAGTATAATTTGTATTATACTATCTGTAGAACGAATATCTAAAAATCATGTAATCTAGTTGCGTGGCTTATATTTTATAGCGCTATATATATAGTGTATAACTCTTTTTTGCCAAATTTTTAAATCGAAATTAGAAGTAGATTTTTAGTTAACGTGTCAAGCTTAAATTCACTATTTTTATCTATTTATATTCTCTTATATATAGTATTAATTGTCTTACGACACTATAAATTGAATTATGATTCTGGTGTATCACAAATAATTCATTAATAATAAAAGACTATATAATATAAAGAGTTGACTTTTACTAAAAATCTTTTTTAAAAAAAAATCTATATTCCTATTCATATTTCAGAGAAAACTTAGTAGAAAGTTCATTTATGCTTTGAAATTTTATTTTGGATCAGAAGTTTTTACTTTTTAATTTACTATATTATATTCAATATAACTATTAAACTTAATACATTAATTTTATTTATAATACTGTATTTAGTCACCAAATCACTCTTAGATACAAAATTTATAGCATTTATTTAACAAACTTAATCGCTTTAGATACAAATATTTAATTTCAGTTATTATCTCTAATTAAACAAGAATCTTAATTTCCAAACTATGTAGCAATGTCATAATTAAAAAAAGTAAGTTGCAATCCTAACGTTTGCGTGTAATACAAAATGTCATTAAGTTGAATGATCAAAATAAGATAAGTAGTTTTTTTTTTTTTTTTTATACTTATAGTTAGCTAACAAGAATTATTCTGAATTTGGCATAATAGCCAGATTGCTTACAACAAGAATATTGTTGAACTTTGTGGTCAACTAACTCAAAACCAGAAGGGAGTCTTCTAGTTGAGTTAGTTTGTTGACAATTAGATAAACCAGAGGGATGTTCTCTAGTACGAACAATCTGGGGGTCTTGCAAAATTATCAATAGAGCATTAATTATATTACTTAGAGATTCTCGTATGACTTCTTGTTGCTGCTCTGGCCAATTTTAATATCTATTTTGCAAGTCTTGTAAAAGAGGTTCAAGTGTGTCTTCATTGTGTTGTGTATCATTTTCTTCAACTTGTGGTATTGGTGTACGTTTATGAATCTACCAGTGCTCATAGATGTCATCTAGTATTAATCTTTAGTTATTTTTGAAATGTTGAAGATAATGAGTACAAGGTAGTCTCATTGTACTCACAAATGATCTGGTATATGGTGGTAAAGGTTCCTGTGTGGTAGTAGTATTTGCCTTTTAATACTGCTTATTTACCTTTTTAAGTGTATAAATTGAAACCAGTTTTCTAACATTTGCATAAAATATATTATTATATACAAAAGCAGGAAAACAGATACGCTCAGATATGATTCTGGTGTCTAGTTCTTTTTTTTGATTCATCACTGCTAGAGAAATTGTCTCACAAACCCTAAAAAGATCTCTTGTTGAAGTTCTCAAATATGCTTTAAGGGTTGCATATACACCTTCAATTCTAGAGGTTATAGTCATTCCTAGGTAAAAAAATTTATTCATCCATGCTTCTACAAATTTGTTCTTTTAATAGTATTCAAGTTTTATTGATATAGATGATGATGTGAGGTTTGCTACCATAAGTAGAACAAAATTCTTCCCAATTCGAATTAAATTTATTTTTAGTTTTTGATTTAACAACACCATTTTATTTTGTGAGGAAAGTATTCCACTCATTATTTTCTCTGTCCATTTCTTTTGGGAATTGGGGCTTGCAATTCTTAAAGATATTTTTACTAATACGCTATATACACAGCAAGTTAGTTCTATCAGGAAAAATCACTCTGAGAGCATTCATAAGAGCCAACTCCCTGTCTATTACAATGATACTAGGTTTTGGTATTCTATTAAAGAGAGTAGAGATATTTTCTAGGGTCTATCAATAGTTCTCTTCTTTCTTATCTTTTATAAAAATAAAGGATGAATAAAAGATAATATAGAAACTAGTTACATTCCAAATTTATTTGTTTTGTAAGTGCAATCTATGAGGAGCACAGAGTAATACTGATGAGTTAATGCAACAGATTCTTCATATGCAAAGAAAAGGTGAGTAATATACCTGTTATTATCATATTTATATTTATATACAAAATCACCTTCTTTGAGATCATTTATTAATGCTTGTATAGGAGTACAACCTGCTAGATTTTGCTAACAAAGTTTTCTACAGTGCATTGTAAATATCTCTACTAGTTATTAGTATTGATTTATCATTCTGTCTAAGTATTGAAACAATTTCTCGAGGATGTGAACCAGCAATAGTCATTTCCTTGATTTTTTCTATATTTTGCTCTGTAAGTCTGCGGGCAATCGGATGTCTTGACATATCTTCTGATTATTCATGAATATGCTCTGCATTAATAACTTTTATATACCACAAATCATCACGTCAAGAGGTGTAAAGTTCAAATAGACATTCAATTAATTGGCTTCCTGTTTGTCTAGAGTGGGCTTGTGAGTTGTAAGTACCACTTCTGTCACAACACAATAACATATTTTTTAATTCTCCATTAAAATCTTTATATATTCTTTTTTTAACCAATACATAGCCTTGTGAATTGGCAAATCTTTAAACACTTTGAAAAAGTTTGTCAGCACTAGTGTATGTTTCTAAAGGTGGTGGAAGCATTGTTGAATTATTATTTATTTAGAGCAAAGATAAGTAATTTTTAATTTTTTTATAAACCTGGTGTATTTTTTATTAACAACTAAAATATAATTATTGTAGAAGATAACGATTAAATAAAGCGATTTAGGTTCTTTACGTAATAGAGAATATGGGAAAAGATTTATAAATACTTATAAAATGATATAAAAAAGTATAAACTTGCTGCAAGATAAAATATTGCTCTTTTATAACTTTGACAAGAAAGTATCATTGAAGTTTTGAGAATTGTTTTTTATGGCTTTTTACTAATTTTTCTTTTTTTTTTACATAATTCACTTTATCTAACAAAACATCTTGCGGCAATAGACACAGTTACAAAAATAAAATGGTTTATCTTTGCTTTGCTCATGATTCACAAGGAAGTATTATTGAAGTTTTGAGAATTGTTTTTTATGGCTTTTTACTTTTTTTTTATATAATCTACTTTATCTAACAAAACATCTTGCGGCAATAGGCACAGTCACAAAAATAAAATAGTTTATCTTCACTTTGCTCATGATTCACTAATTCATTTTTTCTTTTTTTAGATAGATTTATAATATTAGCATAGATTTTATTTTGAGACGTAGTTATTAGTAGGGCTTTGTTGTACGAATAGCTATTCTATTATTTTAGGGTTTAAATATTACATAGTTATTGAACAGAGAAATATATATAATAATTGAAAGCTAAGAAAAAAGGCTTTAGCTAAGTCTTTGGAAATACACAAATAAAATTAATTGTTTTTCTGTTAAAATTTTTTTATAAAATTATTTTATTTTGACCAGTGAACTCTCAATACATTTAAAAAAATTTTATCTAAATATTTCCATCATTTTTACCATTCCTATTTATACTTTTTGTTTGTTGTTTGGGGCTTCATGAGTAAGTTTTTTTTTTTCTTGTATGTTCGCAATCCGCTTGTTAAAAACTTTATTTACTGCAATGAATAACTAACTAATTCAATTGTTTGATGTAAATAAATAAGAATACAATATATGTAGTGCTCTGCATTCACTGCCCAAGGTATAAATTAAAACTATAGCTTTTAATATGATTTGTGCATGAGTACTATCCAAACCAATACTTAGACAGGGTGTTATTTCATTAGATATTTCTAGTCTCGCAAGATAGTTTGTATATGGGTATAATTAGTGATATGCTATTTATATAATATCTGAATTTTTTTCACATACAGTACATATAGTACGTATAGTGTGTATAGTGCATATCTAGTAATTTAATTGACTGGTAGAAAAGATTGGCAAAAATTTTTGCGTACAGTACGTACAGTACTGTACGTAGCACATCACTAGGTATAATAATATTCAAGTTTTATCTAAAAAACAGATGTGACCATTCAAATTCGTAACATCACTAGATTAATAATATCTAAGTTTTAACTTGAAAAACAGGTGTGACTATTCAAATTCATAAATTCCGATATGGACACATTATTATCAACCAATCGTATCTCGAATTTTAGTAAATTCCAAAAATAAAGTTGTGTTATTCAGAGGGATTCAAAGAATATGTTATAAGACAGAGCGAAAATATTAATTTATCTGTTAAATTTACTATCGTTTCATAGAAAGTTAAACTATCTGAATTTTTAAAAGTAGTGTAAAGCATATAAAAAAAATTATTTATCAATTATATAGCTATATTAAAATAATATACGAATTTGAATATTCTTGTTTCTGGGGTATTGAATATAATGCTCTATGGTATTAAAACAAAAATATCTGTTTTTTAGATTTTGGGTTAAATATTAAGGAAAATTTTATTTTAGTCCTAATTCAAGCCAGACTTTTTAATAGTCATTGGTAAAATCACGATTATAAAACTGCACTTTAATTGACTACCAGTTGATATGTTGTATTAAGTTTGCTATATAGATTAGTAATTTAATATTAAGGTAGCAAAAAATGCTTGTAATACATAATATAGTCTTTATACTATAGTACTATTGAATTCGTTAGAGCCATCTCAAAATTTTTTAAATTTAGTTTGTTAAAAAGTGTTTTATATTGATAGTTGAGAAAATGAACCAATCAGACGAATGTCTAAGCCACACAGTGACATCACATGACTATAATATCAGAATTTTTTGGAAATTAATCATGTGGGGGTATGAATATTAAAAATGGGGCGTACAAATATCAATTCCCTAAATAAATAATTAATTTTAATATTTATTAATTACTATAATAATTTTAATTTTTTTATTAAGTTAGTATTTTATTTACTTAGTATTTTCAATTCTAAAATTGCTAATATCTCAAAATTTTGACTAGGTAACACCTCTCGTATAATATAAGCAAAAATGTTTCTCTTGCAATTTTACGTTACCTGAACTCTAATACTAACTTTAATTTTAACTTTAATCTAATTTAATATATATTACAATCTTAATTTTGTTATAAAGATATTGAGTGTAAAAAGTTATTATTTAAATGCTTCTTTATTAGAAATACTTGTTAAGTACTTATTATAAATATTTAATAAATACTTATTATAATTATATAATTACTTGTTAAATATTTAGTTTTAAATATTCACTAGGTATAAGGTGTGTTGAAATTAGTTTAATAAGTAATTGAAATAAGTATTTAATAAATACTTAGTAAGTATTTGACAAGTACTTGGTTATACATTGTGATGAACTATTGAACCAAGATAAAGACTAAATAATAATATAGCAACAACTCAAGTTTCTTAGAAAAGGAACAAGCAAAAGCAAAGTTGCGAAATAGTTCAAAAAGATAGAGCCAGTAATTGCAAAGATAGCATCAAGAACCCCCAAAAGATACTAGTTAAATATTAGAAAATATCTAACAAATATAATACTGGTAACCTTATATTGAAGAAATGTTCTGGCTATATATTTAATCAGAACAAGGTATTTGAAGAATATGAGAAATACTACTACAAGAGCAAAATCCAAGAGTCTCTCTTGGTTTTTATTAGAAGAAGAGGAAATAAATAGAGACTAGAAATCCTATTAGATATAATTAAATTACACTAAAGTAAAAAAAATAAGAATTATAAAAGAAGAATCACAAGTTGCAAGTGTTGTAAATTATAACTTGGATATAGAGATAATTCAAAAACAAGATATATCTTCTAAGCTTAGAGATAGCCTAATACCATAGGACCAAAACAATTTTTTACTTCTGCAAAAAAAGTTGATCTTTTATATAAATAGCTTATTATACCCAACTAAAAGCAAGGAAAAAGGTTCTAATCATATGAGAATAGGGATATTGCAAACAAATCAAGATAAACAAAAAGTAATAAAAGAAAGTTTTGCAAAGACCCAAAATTAGTTATCATTAACTAAACCAGAATTGTTAGCAATTTGGCTAGCGATATTAGCAACACCAAGTAAAAAAAGCAGCTAGAATTTATACAGATAGTGCAGCAGTGATTGCAAATATTGAGAGAAAGAGAAATATCTTAACAAACAAATAATAGCTAAAACTAAAGAATCACAACTTAGTTTGTAGTATTGTAAAATTAGTTAAAGTAAAGAAGATTCAATTAAAATTAGTTAAGGTAAAAGGTTATAGTAATAATAGATAGAATGATAGGATAAATGGTTTAGCTAAAAAAGATACTATGGTAAAAAATAAAAATAGTATCATTTTTAACTCCTACTTAGGTCTAATATTTCACTTTTTTGATACAAGATATTTATCAAACATCTAGCAAGAGAAATAACCAAGATATTTCTTAATTTCAAGATTGGTACAGACTAGAAAGAATTGAAAACAATTCTAAAAGTTGAACCAGAAGAAGCTTATAACAAAAACAATTGGTTTTATTTATAAAAAAAATTAAAAAAGCAATAGCATTAGATATACAACAACAAAAAAAGACAAATGTCTAGGAACTCTGTTTAAGTGTATCAATAAGATACTTGGAACATTATCACAAAGACATCCAGATTTATATCAAGATCAAAGTTGTATTGTTTATAAAGAGAAAAAAGTAGAAGATCAAAATTATCTGGTATGCTGCAAAGAACAAGAAATGAATTAGAAGACTGCTAAAGATCTTGCAACAAATCTAGCCTGGACAGCTCTATTAAAAGAAACTAAAAGAAGAACTAACAAAGACCTTTTAGAAAGAATGCTTTAGAAAAAATCTAAAGAAGAATCTTACAAAATAAGATCCAAGACAATTAAAGATCTGGTTTAAGAAAGCATAATAGAAAAGATACAAGAGTTTTTATAATTGAGTAAAAAAGCCAAAACAAATATCAAGCTTGCTTTAGACATATTTTGAAATTGTTTTCATAAAAATATTTGAAAAAGAAGATATGAACTTCTTTACAAATAGGAAATTAGTAGAGAAATCATAACCAAAGATAAAAAACAAGAAAACAAGATTTTAATAGAAGAAAAAAAGCAAAGCCAGAATATAATAAACTAAGATCCAAAGAAGGGGTTCAAGTTAATTTAAAGAAGAAAAAAGAGGAGAGTTTAAAGAAGATAGAAAACTATTAAGTTAATAATTTAAAATTTTAATTTAAAATAGCTACAAGCCCTTTTGGTATGGCTTGCATAGCTAACCTGGTATTAGCCTTTTGGTCTTAAAAGAAATTTTTTAGATTAGTATAACAGACTGCTTTTAGGTACCTACGAGATAGCTAGAGGATATTAGGTCTAAATATT